CCCGCCCGCCTGCCTGCCCGCCCGCCCGCGGCCGCCACGGAGCGCAGCCGCCAACCAGAACTTTTTTTCTCCCTAACTTCTATCCCAACTTCCAGCAGGCCGCTCCGCGAGGGGGTGGGGAAGGGCGGCCGCGCTTCCCTCCCCAGGGCCCGGAGGGGGCATCTGCCCGGGACCCCTCCCGCCCGCCTCCTCCCGCGCTTTCTCCCCGTTCCCTAGAGCTTTCACCGACTGCAGAGCCTCCCCTGCAGTTACGCGTTGCGGGTCTGTAAAGCTGGCTCGTAAAAATGACGAGACCTCATTTTGACGAGAGAAACACTTTTTATTAGATAAAACGGGTGATGGAAGGGGGGGAAAGGCTAAGAAAACAGCTTCAAGAACTATAAGTACCGGAAAACTTTTGTCACTAACCACACAGTGACATCTGAGTGAACGGGAAGCACTTAAGAGCGTGTCACCAAGGAGTTGAGCTTTCCTCCTCAGAAAACTATTCAATGTCTACCTCAACCCAACAGAAAGAAGGCAACCTCCATTACAAAATCTGGGACCAGCCAGGTTTATAATTAGTTAGTAAATAGGCTTCCGAATCGGTGATACAGAATATTCACGTGTCGCTTGCAGGGATCCACAATCAAGTAGGCAAAAGTCTGTTGGTGGCTTTTGCTTGAAGGGTAACACAGGCCATTAGCATCCTGACAGAAAGAAAAAAAACCGAAACCGTATTAGGGACAATAGAGATATCTGTAAGAGAATTAATAAAATCTGAAGTTAATAATTTTGTTCCTATTGTAACTGTTTATTGCACAACAAAATAGAGCAAATACACCACAGTTTATTTAAACGGTATTATCTCCCCATGAGGATCCCAACACTACAAATTGCACAGTAATTCTGGCTAGATGTATCAAATAACCTTGAGGTAAATGTAATATTTATATAAAATGTAAAATTAAACATGTAAGCAAGTGTTTACACAATTAGAGCCTAAAATACAAAGGATTAAATATACAACAGCCCATCACGTTTCTTTTGAAAGAGAAAAAAAATCATGTACTCTATATTAATACATAAAGCTGTTCCATCTGTAATTTTTTTCACTTAACATTTGCTAATGCATCTGTTCAGGTTCCAATATTTGCATTTAAGCAAAATACTCATTACAGATCACATTAACAACTTTGGACTATTACTGAAAACATTTTGTGTTCCAGTCATCAGAAAGGGCTTGAAGGGATTCTAAACACCTAGCAGCAAAATCCTGAAAAAACATATTCAGCTGACAATCAGCATAGGAACTGTTAACATCCTATGTCTGTACGTGACAATAAAAGCTTCAGTGTTGACAGAGCAGCACAGCTGGACACACTTCAAATCCAGTAGGGATCCAGAAACTAGATGGAGGGATTTTTAAAGGGTTGGTTTTTTTTATTTAGTCAGTGTGGTAACTAAGTATGTGAAAAATCAATAAATATGTAGCTGACACCTCCTTTCTTTTAAAACATGAAACGGTTTCCTCCTGCTCCCCAACACCTTTGTACAAGAGTTGAAGACATGTAGGTTCTGTTACACTTTTCTTGCTTGACAGAAATTGCTGTATTGCATATATTGTTTGTTTTCTTCAGGAAAATTTTAAATTTACAGACTACAGATTATCCTGGATTCTACATCTCTCACATTCTTTTGTTGAAGCTGTCCTCCTTTGCATAAAAGAATCTCTTTTTTTGGACCAAGGAGACATGAAAACTGTTGCCTCTCTCAGTGGTTAAGTCAGCTGAGAAGGAAAAGAGCTGGGTCCCCATTTCTGACCATCTGTGAATTTTATCCTTTAGGTGTTACTGGTATCCCATTTTCTCCTTCTACTTGAAAGAGAATGAATCCATTATCAGATGTTCTGGTGTCTTCCTTTGGGGGATTATTCAAACCCCTAAATCTTAAATTAAGCTAAGCACCTCATAAAAGCACTGTTTGAGACAGGTAGAGATTTGATAAGATTTATTCCCAAAATATTCCAATGGTAGTCAAATGCCACAAGCTAGAAATAGCATTCTATATTTAAGCAGCACAGCATACAAGCTCTGTAGCTCCAATTGTAGGATAACTAGCTCTCTTCAGGTGTGTTTTAAGGATACATTTGTAACAAACACTGGATTCTCAACTGCAGTAAGGAGAGCAAATTTTATGATTTTAAAGGGCTCAGCATCAAAGGGAAGATCTTTGGAATTTGATCCAAAAATAACCTAAGCTGATGCATGTAACTGAACAAAAAAAAAAGTAAGACAAGACCAACATCAAGATGTGGTTGTTAGTTAAACACTTTTCCCATTGCTACTGAGGATCCCACTCCTGCAGCCTTTGTGGAATTGATGGATGGCAGTTGAGGTTTTGACTGTTTAGAGGCACTGTGAGCCCACTAAAAATTTGTTCAACAGCTCAAGAACAAAAACAATGTAGTTCTAGCAATGAGGCATTTCAAGCAATATACCAAACTCGGTATCAGGAAAATAGTCAATATAACCTAATTAAATGAAAAGCATTCTTAAGTTTATTTTAATTAGCAAAAGAGGTCATAAACCCCTAAAATGCTTGACTATAAAGGCTCTGATATTTACATTCATGCATGTACACAAGTTAAGAATCATACCAATTCCATCTGCAGTGTGGACTTTGGTTCACACATGCAGGGGGTGTAATGATTGATTTACTGATGTTAGAGTAGGATCATTTTATTTTTTCTTTGTAGCAACACAGCTGATGATTTAAGAATACATATGCATAGCATAAAACAGAAATAAAAATACTGCTGAACATTCTCAAAACTGCATAATGTAATTGACAAACTTTTTAAATACTTCTTGAACAAACTTTGCATTATTCTGATTTCTAACACTGCCACAGTTTGGGTTCAGGTAAAGAAAGTTCCAAAATATCATTAAGCATTCCAATATTTAAACTGTAAAAGTGTTTCATTATATGCAAAGCTCCAAAGCTCTCAAGGGTTAATGTTAAGGTTTGGAGTTAAACAGAGGACTTTGTCACAAGATCTAAAATTATTTCTCTTATGATGCCTAGGTCTATCAGGTTTTGATGCTAAAGAGCTCTACAGACATTTGTAAGAGAGGCCTCAACAAATTCATTTATTTTAAAAATTATTTATCTATTTACATCAAGATAGGAGGATATGAGCTTTTCTTACAGATACAAACCGAGAAAATTTGGCTTAAAAATTAATAATAAAACATATAATATTCTAATGAATATAATTAAATTATATATTTAATAATTATATTAATAATTGATAATTAAATTAATAATTAAACTGTAATCCACATAAGTATTATAACACTCTACAGTTATTTATCAAATGAACTCAGAAACTAAATCCACTGCAGAAATGTAGTTATCTCCTTGAGAGAAACTTTTCATCACAAACACGAGACATTAGTGCTCCAGTAAGTGTCCTTCCTGTAAGTGCCAAGTGGAGTGAAGTAGTTTTGATCCACAAAACCGTTAAACAGTCTAGACACACTGTTTAGCCTTTCTGTTTTCTGAGACAAAATTCTTCAATACGTTCTTTAATAGAAACCGTAATTTCAGAATTCTCCTTCACCCCACAAATTTTCAGAATGTGCAGCAATCCCAATTTTTCTCCAAGGGTACAAGGAAGATATCCAATTCTGCATTAACAGTGGATCTTCTTTTGTCCATCTATTTTATTTATAAAAAGTTGCTAAAGTTTGGTTGGGGTTTTGTTTGTTTGTTTGATTTTTTCCTCTGTAGTTCTGATGATATTTAATGTATGGCAAACACAGGGGAGCTCTTTAATGTCCATCTGCGTAAACATAGAAATCTGCAATTCACATCAATGCACTTGATTCAGAGGTTGGAAAGGACCAGTAATAACAGAAGAACATCCAGTTACCAGGGTTTTGCTTTTTTATTTTTATTACAGTCTGCAACGTAGCAGAAAGATAAATTTTGATACACCCATAAAGTGTTTATTTTCAAAAGTCTTTATGAATCATACATAGTACTTAAAAGATGATGACCAACAGATGAACAACTGGGTTATTGGCAACCTACAGGGAAGTTTGTGCAGGCTGAAATGACATCAGCTACTGCTGTTGAAAGTTGGTACATTATCTGACATTTAATTATCACATATTCTGGTTACTCAAGAAGAATTTGGAGGAGTTCATCCTACTGTAACAACTTAAATGACAGATATGCTGAATCTAGTAAACATGTAGTCAGTTCTCAAACTTATCTTGATGGTAAATGTATGATTTTGCAAGGGAAACAGATAGGAATGAGACTTGACGAGGGAGGGGAAAAGAGGTTAGCAGTCATCTCACCACCCCAGCCCTTTTGTATACTAAACATCCTTGCAGTCTTTATAGAAAGAGATGCAATACAAGCTGTTTACAAAGCTCTAGCAACATTTCAAAACAGAACTATAGGAAGTCAAGAGTGCATCCTTGATCCTTATTGCTAACTCAAGTTTTATTATTATCTAAACCCAGAATTACTCAGATTTTATTTTTTTTTCACTATCTAGTTTCTGGATGACTGTTATGATTTCCACTGCAATCCAGCAAATCTATTTTTAGTTTGCTACCAAATAAAACTTTAGCTGGTGGTTACTAATGAAAAGTTTGTAAAGACGATGAGAAACAGGATGAGGCCAGGGAAAGAGTTAATGAATAAAAAAAATAACAGCTATGGGGAAATAACCCATTATAATGGAATATTATA